TACGGCAGAAACCTACAGGCCATAGCCGGGCTACGGCTGCCCATTCGAAATTCTGCCAAACATCCAAGTGTTCCAACCAACAGTTCCTTCCCCCACAGTTCCACAAGCTAATGATCCTTGCTATCGACGACTCAACCCCAATAAAAAAAAWAAATAAAATGTAATTTATCATCCCTAATTCATTATATATTATTATTTGATTCATTTAAATTGTTTTTAATTTTTATTCAGAAAATAAATCTAAAACTACGCTCCAACTAAATAAACTAATAACGAATGTACAATTATAGTAGGAAAACTAATTAAATCAATAAAACCCAGAGTGAAAAATCGTTGATATTGATGTATAAGACTAAGACATAATTATTATACCGTATATTAATCGTACCTACTCAAGAAAATGATTGCCGACAAATCAATAATTACTGTAATAGTGTAATTATATCGGTGAAAGCTCCCTTAAAAGTCTAAATTTTATCACTTATTATTACTCACCACAGCCGAATTCGTCCGAAATTGAAAATCCGTTAAAGCAGTCATTTTGTCCGTCGCAAATATATTTTTGGCGTATGCAACGCGAAGGATATCCCCCAGGCATCCAACAACTGAGCGTTGATCCTGTTGTGCACACAATTACATCTGTAAATCAAATACAATAATTCAAACTTATAATTTGTTTTAATAATTTTCTCAAATCCACGGTATAAAATAAAGAAAATCTGAACACGCTATATTTTACAAGTTTTCCGGTTAAACGTAACACTGTTTCAGTGTTTCCTTAAATTAAATTTCGTTAAACCATTCTAGAATTATGACTAGTATACGAGTATACTGATGGCATTACGAAAAACTACTCCCGGCCATATAATTAAAGACCATCTGAAATTGCATATAGCCTGTAGCTATTTTAAATTAAAATATAATGAAGTATAAGCTGCAAATACTAAAGCTTTATGTATATATTTTGATGATTTTTTGAAGAAAAAAAATTATTAGATTGGGTTCAAAACTTTGAACTTATTAGGTTAGTACAAGTGTTAAAATATCTCGAATCACATCCAGTGAGATTTAATTAAATGTTTGATTAATCAATAATCATACTTGAGTTTCAATTATTAACGAGCATTACGTTTGTCATGTTATAAGCAATAAAATCATTATACCATCGGTTTTATTATAAAACGTCGTGCAATTTATCTCGTCGGCACAATTTCCATCGACACTTGGCAAGCAATCGCATTGTCCGTCACATACATTGGCGTCGTTAATACATCTTCCGTTTGGACACTGAAATTTGTTCCCCGAACACGACGCGTTACCTGTTTATAAATGGAGCTACATATAGACACCAATATGTCTATATCAATTTAATGTCAGAAAAATTGTAATAATTACATAATAATTCATCGGCGTGATTATCTGCACATTCTGGCCATCCGTCGCACCAAAACGTCGAGTGCACCGAATGGCTCCCACCGCACTTGATAAAATCTTCTGAAATGCGCGAAAATGGTACTGTCAGCTAAGATTATCGACAAGTGCCGTTCATTTTCAATAATAGTATTCGTCAAAATACGAAAGACAAAAATATCTCATATAGTCATAACGATATTATAATATTATACTGTGGCCGTGCGTCATTGAAAATAAGTCATAGAGTATTAAAGTCGTATGGCTATGTAAGTATTAAGTAACCTCATAATCTCAGAAAAAAATACATTTATACATGTCAAAAGTTTATAGTCACTCTCTCATATTAAAATAAAGTAAAAACATTACATCAATAAAACTTTTTTTATGTGTACTACTAAATATTTTTCATTATTTGATCTTATCACAATAAACCATTATTTTCTATAATAAACAATCAAAAATATTATTTTGTTGGCTTTTGTTCGGAAACTTTAAAATCCCAAAATTAAAGAAAAAATAAATATTAAATCGATTTTATCATACATTTTATTCATTATGTTATAATATTAAAATAGCTGTTTGTATAAAACTATAAAATAATTATAACAGTAATATTATAAGAGTAATAATTTAATAGTACGAGCTGCTCAATTATTTATACTCATATATTGAGTATACCACAAATTTCAGTAATATTAGCTTAGTATTAATATTACAAGAATGTTATTATTGTTAATATTCATATTTTAAATACGAATGTATTTTCTACTATTTTAGATTCTGAGCAGAGCGAGGAATGTATTGATTCTACCACGATGTGTGTTTTTTTTGTGTGTCTATCRTCAGTTCATCACGTTTTGGGGAAGTAAAGGTGCTTCGAATTTTAACTTCAGTACCTAGTTCGATTAGAAAGTGAATCTAGTTGCTATTTTTGGGAGGTCAAAATAAAAAAATTCTCAATATATTTCTAAATAATCGAGATACACAAACTAAAGTTAAGGGAAAAACATGAAATTTTACGTACAATCAGTTTTCGGCAAAATCGATTTTGGTTTTTGATGTAACTTTAAAACGAATGACCATAGATGAATGAAATTTTCACCAAATGTTTATATAAGTATATTTTATCCACCGGGCAATTTTCAAAAATGTTCGACTTAATTTGAACAATTCATAGGTATTTGCAATTTTCGATCATTATTAGTTTTTTTTTTAAAATTAATATCGATAAAAATGTATTTGTTGGGTAGAAAAGCTTGAAAATTTAATACAAGGCTCTTAACATATTGTTACAATAGCAGTTGAAAAATAAAAGAAATTCATAGTCAACATTTTTTTTATAGGTAAGCATTCGAAATTTGAATTTTGCAACATACGTAAAAATCACGAAAATTCGCAAATTATTTTATGCTAGAAATTCATAAAAAAATTTCCTTTTATACCTAAGCTTTGAAMATTTTTAATAATCTATAATATATCCAAGACATATAAACCGTCTCCGCTCAGAATCGTTTTTCATATACAACGATATAATATCATTGGATTCAAATTTAATTCCATCWATTACAGTAACTCACTTGTAACCTATTGTACAGCAGAGTGACATCCACGACTTACTCGCTTTTTTAATTACAACAACAACAAAAATCAATTTTGATGAAAGAAAATTTTGTTCGTAAATAGGTACTCCCATTTTTGCGTAGTTTTTACTCGATGATTATTTTAAAACTACTGATAATTATAATTTATATTTATTAATTAGGTACCCAAAATAAAAATTAAATTAAATTTTCTACCACAAACTACCCTCGATATTAAATACATTTCAGTTTAATGGCACAAAAAAATAAACATAATTGTAAAACCAATACCTACTTTCGTTGCATTACTTAAAACCTAACATAATAATATTAATCGTTACTTCCTATGTAGGTAAAATAACATCATTAAATATTTATTTTTGAAAGATCAAGATGTTAAAAACCTTATAACCTTGATTATCTTCGTGATATTTAATGATTTTACTAAGTTAAAAATTATATTTCTTGCTCACAACTACTGACTATATATCCACAGTTGTATACAGACTTCCTGGATTGGATTGCAAGATTAATTGTCACACATCAAACCCACGCGTAGCTTCACCCATTACACTCTCCGACCATTAACAAATTGCATTTGTAATACCCATTTCATAAAATGAAAAAAAACATCATTTTTTTAATTTTATAGTTTTTAAGTTAGTGAAAAATCTAGTGAACATTGTTTCCATATAATAATCCCATCATATACTACATTGTATACTTTAGGCATAAAATAAATTATAGGATTAATCATRTCATAGTATTTGCTTATTGTATACAATGTATAATAATYAGGTACCTATTATTCTTTGCAATATGATTTAAAAATATATATAATTTAATTTTAAATTACATATCATTTAAGATAAAAAGGTAAATTATTCGTATTTTTATCGTCATTCATTTGTTGGATATTTTAAACTTATAAAACTATCAATAACTATTATCAATATAATAAATGTCTGTTTCGACACGCGTATAATATTTATGAGATTGGTGTGTTGCGACTCGTTACTCATTAGTAAGTGGTATAGTTGCGAAGAAACTAAAAACTACAGCACAGATATCAAAATAAATAATTCCCTGTGACAATATTATGATTCCATCATAATCCATAGAAGTCGGAATATATAATACAGGTATAGTAAGTATTAAGTACTAGTTCCCAAAAACTATGATCCTGAAAATGGATAAAACAATTTCAGACAAAATTAATTTCCAGGAAAAACTTATTATTTCATTTATTTATTATTGATTTATTCCAAATCATTCATACAGAGAGCTGAATTATTGAACTCAACTCACCTTCCTTTTTTCCAGTTAGTTCGACATTACAATAATATAATGCTAAAACTATATAGTATTATATGCGACTGTTTAACATATATTTGAGTATTTGACAGYGTAATAATGGCTGCCATATTGTATTTTAAACGATAAGGAAAAAACAATTTAATTTAAATGTAATTGGAGCTGAAATCATTCCCAGTAACGGTAACGCCTAAAGGCGACAKGGTCTCTCAAATMTTACTGATAACATCTAATTATTCCACACAGAGTTCAACCGTTCCAAGTTTCTGGATAAAATGTGTTACATCCAGTACGATAATAAACAAAGCTCAAGAGGCCGACATTGTTAGTGGTGAGAGTTGGAGTATTGTTTTACTCTGTAGTCTGTTCCAATTGGCAATTTTAGGTGACCAGGTCTACAGTCTAAAACTAAGTTCTGAGAAATAACTTTTTCGCGTGTTTAATAGTTTAATCCCAACATAAAAAGTGCTAGAAATAATATATAGAGGTATAAAAGCAAGGGAAAAAAACGATATCGGAGACATGMTTTAAAATAGTCAGAACACCAATTAAAATAATAATATCTATTGTATTATATTTAATGTTATATTTTTAACTAATATAAGTATAATAAAATAATATTTATAAAACTCAATTAAGGTAGTTTTTGGTACTTTTCTTTTATTKTGAATTTGTAGAATTCTAAAATTATAAACATTAAATATACTTATGTTATTTGTAAAAAAAATTATTACATCAAAAATATAAATTATTATAGTTAAATAAAATATTTTTAATTTTGCCAAAGTTGAATGTTCTCAAGTTAAATGTCGTCTAGGTATATATTACACGAGAGAATACATTTTATGAAACTATAGCAATATGGTTTCCCATTTGTATTACTGTAAAATGGACAAGTTGTGTTTGTATATTCAAAATGTGTAATTTGAAAAATATGTATTTCGAATTGGGTACATACAAAATTTTGAATTAAACACTTTAGGATTATGTATCATTTTACTTTAAAGACATAAGGAAATAAATAATTGTTTTTAATGCAGATTATTACAATAACATTTAGAATACTAGTCATAATGTCATATAGTATTACTCGTTACTGTATGTGGCCATGATTATAAATTGTAATTTATATATTATCTTCCTTGAATAATATAAATTATTTGCTAATTTTAATAAAGAGTTAAAATTATTATATAAACCAATCATTTTTATAACACTTTAGTGCAATTTCGTCAAATGCATCATTAACATTTTTAGGATCTTTTTGTTTATTTACCTTATAAATATTCATAACAATGTTCATTCAAATTTATGGTTGAATATAATCATAAAATAATTTTGTTTCACAACGAATGTTAATATTAAATAAAGAGYGACAATTTTAACTAAACTTTTGGTTATTTAAATGACTTGTAATCAAAAATGTAATTGTATTTGTTATTTGTTTTATAAAAAAATGTTATAACTTGAAAAAAATTTTTTTCTTCAAATAACCTATTTTTTTTTAAGTTGATTTCATCGAAATGTTTAATAAAGTTCAAAAAAAATTAATTTAACTGTTTATTGTATATATAATTAAATAACTACAAAGGTATAATACTTTAATTAAATACATGAAGAATCACTTAGGTTAATAATTAAGTAACCATAATTCTATACAAACACAAAAAACAACCCTACCACTCATATTTTCATGTGCAATGATAATTTTATACGAGGTAGGTACGAGGATGTACTTCAGTAGTTCAGTTAACAATATAATATGTTATGGGCAGACCACCAAGGTAACTACACCTAATGTATGAGTTTGACTATTGACTACTAATAGATATATTTGAATATAGTTGAGTAATAATTAAATTTAAAACTGATGGAACAATGAGCTAATGAAAAATGATTTCGAATATAGATTATGGATATTCATATACATTKTATTATGATAATACATTTAGATATAAATTAATAATTTAAAAAACATTGTTTTACTAAAAATAAACAAATAATAATATAAGATTAATCAATAGGATTGATTAAGTGAAGCGAGTACACAAATAAACAATATGCAACAGTAAAAATGTAGATTTTAGATTTATCAGTTATAATAGTGCCTAGTGGATGTGTTAAATTTAAACTCAACGATATTCAATAATCATTGTATACAAAAACAATTTTGAGAGAAGATCTTTTGTTAGTATWAATTTACAAAGATATTTTGTTTCATATTTTGAATTTTTCTACTATTAATAAAGTATAGGTTTCACCAATATATTTGAAATATTATTGTGTAATAACATACCTACGTATTATGCTATATTGACATATTGTTATATGGCATAACTTCTATCAAAAAAATTCCCCAAAATAAAACTAAAAACATTAAAAATGTATAATTTGAATTTTATTTTTATTTATTTATTTATTTATTTATTTATTTTTTTTTTTTTTTTGGGGGGGGGAGAGCCCACAACAATAGGCCATTAAATGGGGTGTAGTACGATAGAAGTTATTTTTGTATATTTTGTTTATAGGTATTTAAGTTGGTAAGGTTGTAACACGAGTTTTTGTATGTGTGGCAAGGATATATTGCTAAAAATCCCTGCAGGTCACCCATCTGGGAGCTAACAATTGTGGCTGGTATACAGTACGTTTCCACAGATGAGCGTACCTATGGCCGCGCCTTTCCGAGCCTCAATTTGTATAAATATAGTCTAACTATATCATTTCTAGAAAATGTTAATATTAATTTCCAATTTTATGAAAATTTCAAGTATCTACAGTTATTTGTTTTTKAATTACAACAAAATATTAAAATTSATATTTTACTCTTTGATCCCCTTCCCTTCTATTATTCTATTACCAATAAGATTGAATTTGCCACTACAAACCACCTCGAAGTTAAAGATTAAAGCATTTTTWTAACTGTAAAATGCGATGATGAACACAAAAATAAAAATTATTATTTCAAACAAATCATGTAAAAATAATTTGTTATTTTAACAAGCATAAAACATAATTTAATAATTTAAAGCTCACTTAAGATAATAAAAAGATAAATAGGTTTTAGTATTTACTATAGATTATTATAAAAACTTATTTWAAAAAAAGTATAATTTTTTTTAATTCGTATTTTTCAACTTACTTGTTTCGCAGTACTCTTCATCAGAGCCATCAACACAATTAACTTCACCATCGCACAAATATCCAGGACGTATACATTCGGAATTTTTACACTTAAATTCTCCATGCCAGCATTCTCTGTGCTCTAAATAAAATAATTAAAATATAAAATATTCATTCACTCACTTTTATACAATTAATAATTTTATTTAAAACTCACTGCATTGAAGTTCATCCGATCCATCACCACAATCATCTTTGAAATCACAGGCTTTATCAGTAGGTATACAAAAATAATTTGCACATTTAAAGTGCGTGGTTGGACAAACATGTGTTTCTATAAATAAATATTAATATATTATATATATTTKAGTTAAATATATTTCTTTCTTTTCTTTTTTTACCGGATGCAGGTTTCTTATGTATTTTTATAATATAATATTTTAATACATTTTTAAATTTTACAAAAACATTTAAACGATCAAATAAATATATWTTAATAAAATATTATATTATTATACATTTTGAATAATTTTATACTTTGTTGGGCATTGATTATATTTTCAAAAAATTTTAATCGTATATAAAATAATTTAAATTACTAGCATCGTGTATTTTATCTAATGTTAATGGAGAATAATATTCAGATGTTATTCTATATATTTCACAGAAGGTGCAAGATCAATACCATTTACAGCATATACTCAAGGAAACCTTCAGCAAAGATGATTTATGGAAATATTGTAGTTTGTAAACTTAATAAGTTATATCAACTTTTGTTATCTCTTATTTTTCTTAATTGTCATTAATTTATATGGATAAATGATTTAAAAAAATTTTATTTTTATCATTGATCTAAATAATTTTTAAATCTTAGAATATTAGTTTAAAAAATACTTATAGTTTATTTAAAACATTCGTTTAGCTTAAAAGTTGTATAATTTAGTTTCCTTTAATCCAACATTTCTAAAACTATTTTTAACGTATTACTTGTGTAGAGGTATTATGGATAGGTCATATAGGAACCACTAATGACTAATAACTTTAGAGCTAATAATTCAAAATTGTATTACTTTTTTTAACAATAATAATGTATAAAAACAAAAAATGTAGATACCTAGGTACATTTAACATTATATTTAGTACCTATTTATAAAAATTAAGACTCATATTACTTTCGTATCTAAAATTATAGTAAAAATATTAATTTTTAGTTTTCGTATTATCCACACATGCATTTCTGCTTACCAGGTACCACCATATAGCCTACTGYGTAACACCATTGAATAAAGAGCCACTGCTTTAGTTAATATTAATTACATTATTTATATTTATATTTAGTTAGAAGTTCAATGGTAATACTTCTCTTATCTAGCTGTTGTGATACATGTAATGTTTATTTAATGTGTCTTCATAGTTTTGGGATTCTGTTAAGATATGCTTAACACTATAATATACTCCAAAAACACCAATAAATTACTTAAATGTTCATAGAAAAAAAATACTTCCAATATACCATGCAATTAAAAAGTTTGATTTTATATAAATTCTAACCATAAACAATATTTAGATCAAACAACTTTGAGGTTTCTATGGTTCTTATAATAATCACAACTTAAAATATTACGCAGCATTCTTTTTATAGCTTTTTCTTTTGACATAGACTTTCAAACATTTTGTGACAAGTTATTAACAACTTTCATGAAAACTTAAAATGGTTTTAGCTATAACAACAGTTAACACATCAATAACTAATGTAAGTCTACTTTTTTTATCTTCCTGTACATRTTTACAACGGAAGTTATATATTTCCTACATTTTTACTTCATTCAGTGAATGGTAGGTATATCAGCGTGAATTTTACTTTTTACAGTTTCAAACATGTATCCGTCATAGATGAGTTTGCATAGTTTGCATGAGTTCAATATATATATAGGCTATTTTCTCGGTAGGAATAATCTTTAAAAAAATTTTCGAAAATGATTCAAGTAACAAGTTTAAAAATACTTTTCACTCATTGATAGGGAATAAAAATGCCATAAAATGTTCACAAGGTTAGGTTATAATAAAATCATATTAAAAACGTAGCTACATACTTACTATCAAAAATGCATTGTTTTAATTATTTTGTGTAATATTTACTAAAAATATTCAAAAAGCTTTAACATAGTGTATCGTTTTTTTTCCTGGTCTTAATTTGATAATCTAGTACTATTGATTAATGTAATATTGAATAATAATGTAGGTACCTAATATGAGTCATATGTCAGATCGTAATAAACATAAACAATGCCAAATTATGGTTTGAAACTAAAAAAAACTCCCGAAAAAGCATTGTTTTTAAATCTAAAAACACCTAATTAACCCAAAAACACGATAACAGTCAATTAAACCATAAATACCATTAACCAACAAAATCAAACACATTGTGGTTCAATGACAATAATTTCCTATCTCCTCACAGAATCTCTAACTTAATATGTGCAATGTACATCAATATGTTACATATACGATGTAACATATTGATGTGCAATGTACATCAATATGTTACATATACGATGTACCTAATAAATAACCTAAAAATACCTACGATCTTACAAAACTTCATAAAATTAAATTAATGGTTATTAACTATACTAACTATATGTATAGTGTATACGTATTTGAAATTGATATAAAATATAGGTAACTGCAACACATTTTATAGTATCATMGTAATACTGAATTTATATTACGTTGGTATTATTTTTAAGATATAATTTTATTGTAACTTATATGAAAACTGTTAAGAYTTTCAAATTCGCGGGAACACAAACAACTGGGCGATACCCAGACAACTTCTTTGATCATCAATATTTTAATGATTTTATGTGAATTAATTTTCATGGCTACGGTTAGTATTTTTTATGTTTTTTTGTACCCGTTCTGACATTAAACAGATTTTTTAGTGAATTTACTAATTATAATACATTAATAATAATAAAATTGACACAGTAAACACTTAAAACTTTACAAATGACTTTTAAAAAAATATTTAATAAGTAACTATAATTGACTTAAATAACCTTATTTTGATTAACGTTTTATGTATTTATTTTAGAACAGAAAATAAGATATTAAAAAAGAGTGCTAAAGTAATTAAGGAAAAACGTGACTAAATGTAAATACTTACACACTTAATAAATGCAATGAATAGAAATTACAATAAAATAGACTTACTGCAATCTTTTTCGTCTTCTCCACCATCACAATCATCAATCTTATCACACCGTTTCACTAGTTCAATACATTTGTTTGCACATCGGTACTCGTTTTGTAAACAACCTGTAAACAATTATTGTAGATAGTCAGTCATTTTTAACAAAAAAAACGATATGCAAATGATTTTTTTTGATTTTTTCATGCAATCTATCAGAGACGTCAGAGTGCTCATTGAGGGCCATGATGAGGGTGTCATATTCCCCCTTTGGCTTATTTTTGTCATATACAATATATGATGAAGCAATGAATATATATATATATATATATATACCTATAAAGTAGTATGAGAATACTCAAAAGTTCATATTCCCTCTTTCAAAAAAGGTCTATTTAGGTAAATGATTGTTTGTGCCAAAGAAAAATATATACCAAATATTTGGTATTTATTAGGAACAAACTATTGACAGTATAATTGTTTCAACCTATTAGTGTAGATCTTTTCACTGGTCTAAATAACTAGAAAGATATTGGTCACATATTTACTTTTATATTAGGTATACATTAGCAAAGATTTTAAAAACTATTAATTATCCAACCATTACATACTTAATATTTATTATCATCTTCTACATTTAGTACGTGAGCAAAATATAATTAATCAGTCGTGTACTTAATTAATTATAAAAAGCCGTTTTATACAACGATGAATCAATGGYCAAAACGTCAATCTAGTGAATTTCGTTTACTTATTAACGAAACCAAAAATGTCAGGATTTTACACTTAATCCTAAATGTAGGTACTTAAAATCTTATATTGATWAATAACACATAATTAAAAATAGTATGGCACTGCTTTTAACACACATACCAAGTGCTTAGACTTTTAACATTTACTAAAATATTCTGATGCCTGATGGATGGYTGTACACTTGTTTCGAAAGTAAGACCAGAATATCATTGAACATTAATAAATTCTCGTTTTTTACATACTTAACGCAGAATTCTATGTATACCTACTTGATGCCTACCATGTATAGTTGCATCGCAGATATTTTATAAAATATAATAGTGTTATATAGGTTATAATTATAGTGTTATCAACCATTATTTATTCAATCCCCTCATTATTAACAGATATATCCCAAAAATTTCTAAAAGAAAAAATTAAACGTATAGTCTAAGACAATTATATTTAAAGTTATTTTTTTCTTTAAGTTAAAGAAAAAAAAATCATAAAGATTTAAATTATTATACAGTTAGGATTTTCTTTTCAAAAAATGATTATAACAAAGACAGCGTTACAGTACAAATTATGAAAAAAGAATCTCATAGAGCTCGATAGAGGTAAATAATTAAAAGTATGATTACGGTTAGGTTAGACACGCTTCACTCGTTTTGGTGAAACAATCAAACAACCAATATATAAATATTATTATACAATTAAAAAAATGATAGTTATGCCATAGAATTCAAAAGATAATTTTTAACAGAACTTAATTATATAGCATGAACTATATGGATTATATTATAATAAAACAACTATCCATATTCTATATAATATATTATTGTATATTGTATAATATAACCGATATTGTATGCCTGAACGGCTGTATTGCTGAAACTACCTTTATACGAAGTCTTTAATATTATAAGAGTTTATATAATTATTATAAACATTTTAAACATTTAGGTATTGAGTTGACATTTTAARTCGACAAAYCATGATATTTAAAGCTAACATTTTTATCAAAATCAACTATCAATAATAAGACTTATCAGAAATAAGTTTATTTAAAAATTAAAACCATATTGKCTAGATTCCAAGAATATTAATTTTTTAAATTATTGGTAATTTTTATACACTTAGGAAAATTGCCATGAGAAACCAAAAACTATACTAACTTAATTTGGCAAAAAATTTWAATTGAATGGACAGATGTTACATACTAATATAAARGTTTTAAAACCAAAAAGTATCCAAACAAAAATAAACATAAAAGATACATTATTTTTTAAATAATACATCACTTTTTTCATTTTTTGACTGAAAATCACAAATTATCAAGTAAATAATGGCGTTATAGTGGAAATTAGTATTCGAATTTTTCCAGTAATTTCTCGCACCTAAACACTTCATCGAAATAAGCATTAAATAAATTATTAACTATCGATGGTTACTAAAACTTATAAATTTATAACAACTATTAATGTTATAGAATCCAATATTCCTTTACTGCAGAAATACCATGCTCAATTTGAATAGCACTTAGCATATAACATTGACAGACAGTCACGAAAAGTACTGCTTAATAGATTTATTATTATTAATATGTTTTTATTTGCTGTAATAAATCTTATCATCTTTAAAAATATTATCTTTTTATTAATTAGTTATTTATTCTTCATTRTTTGTACAAAATATGTGCTAAGAATAAAAAAAAATTGTATTACTGCTATAGCARTATTATACCATTTTTGTCATACGTACATCAAAATTTGATGTAATGGGACAGTACTGTTATAGCAGTACTAAAAAACCTACTGCTATGGCAGTACTAAAACATTGAGTTATTTAGGCATGCTTTATCTTATTTTTGACAATCCTCACTGTCCGTCAATGTGTTAATATGAGTATTGAAATATATCTAAATGGATCTAATATGAATTATATAATATTAAAGAATAATATTTTTAATCTTTTAGTATTTAAGGAAATAATAAATGTATTACAATTGTCAAGACTCCCGCGCRTTATTATTGTAAAACAAAAGCAACGTGGATTGACGTCTTTAGCCATATTTAAAATTATAATCTTTTAAATTCTATTCAACTTATTTACATTTACTATATCCATTAAATACCCATAATAATTCTTAAAATCTTAAAACCTTCAAATTAAGTTCAAAATTATAATTGCTCTATGTATTTGTAACACCGTGGCATGGAAAGAAGCGGGACCCTAATATGTCAATCACTCTCATGAAAACCAACATGCAAGAAAACAATTATAATGAAGGAATGCATATATATATTATGTTATATACTAAAATAATTTTTTAATTTTTCATAGTAACATGTTAACTAGAGCCAGAGTTGTGAAAAATGTAGAAGTAATAAAATAATATAAAAGCTGATTTTTATCTATTCAAATAGAAAAAATAGAAAATACTACAATAAACACTTCACATTCAATCATACAAGCTGTAACTGTATTAATTTAAATGTAATTATTTAGATTATTTAATTACATTTTTTTCATTCATATAAATCTGATATAGTCATTAAAAAATTCCTTGAGAATTAAAATATAAATCCAATTCAAGTTACAATAGTTTTTTAAAATTTGAACGGAGCAAGAACAGTATTTTTTTTACAGTGATATATTTTTCTCTTGTAGTTAACAATAAGACAGTAAGTTCAAGAAGCCTYCTATCTATCAATTATTTTAAATGAGACTATACATTTTAACTATAGTAGACATTATTATTGAAGAATAATAATTTAGCAATAATTAAATAATGTAGTAATTATCTTGTAGAGATCAAATGATAAATTTATTATATTTTTAGCTAATCGTCAAATTGTAATACTATTCGTATACAAATTACAAAATATTAAAACGATAAACTGAAACAAGAATCATTAGCACTTAGCAGCATTGATTTCGGTGAAATTGAAACTTATCAATTCTTCTAAAATTAGTTTAATAAAGTTGAAAGATTGTTTTGCTAACTTAGTTTTATAGGGTTTAACTAAGCAAACAAAACCAAAATTAAAAGCCATGAACTTTTCAATATTTTAAATGCATTTAAAGACAAAAGCACTGTAAAATCGGACCATGAATACAATTTTAAAATCAGTTTACTACASTTGTAGAAAAAATAATACAGCATGGTATAACCAACAATACCAACAATATCAATATGAAAATAAATCCCATTGTATAGATTTGAAAATAATAAAATAAAATAAATATATTAAGTACATTGCAATTCATTGTTATAATATTGTATCACCTAAACCATAAATATAATTTTAAAACAAAACTTAATTATCAAAAGCAATTATTCGCCTACGTATCAAAATAAACATATACATATTTTTTAATAATTAAAAGAGATAGGATTTGTATGCATTTGCATATTCTGGTTATTCTGGTTGATCGTATGATATGCTAAGTGAGCACTGAGCACAAAGTTTGTTTCATGACATAACGATTTAAAAAATGAAACTTTGTTAGTGCATATTCCGATGTTTTTTTTTTGTTTTTTTTATTTATACTATTTTCAATCATAATATAAAAAAAAAATTATGTTTTTATAGTTTCGATTATTTCGATTAATATCAAAATATCGAAAATGAATAGGTATAGGTACTTGTAGACAACACCGTTTATTTATAATCGTGAAAATAAAATACGTATAGGTTAGGTTAGATAAATCGTCGTTATCGAGTCGTCTTCGTAATTATGTACGTGAATTCGGGGAGATATATTTTTTCAACCGACGGTCAAATCATATACTGTGTACATTTTGTGAAGTAAGAATTTCCCACGATAAACGATATTCAATTACACAAYATATGAAAACTGAAAAAACATTTAAAATCTGTGAAATTATGTCAGAATAAACAACAAAATTTTCAAAGTTTATTCACTAATACTACAATACCGAATAAAGATTAATTTTCTGCAGATCTATGCAAAGCATTGGTTTTGGCAAATATTCCGCTAAAAAAACTCAATAATACACATTTCAAATCATTTTTGGAAAAAATATACTAATCACGTTATATCAGATGAATCAACGATTTGTAAGAATTACTTACACAATTACTATATTAATACAATGGATACAATTCGTAATAAAATCGAAGGGAAAAAAGTGTAGTTGTCATTGACAAATCTATACGATATTATGACGTCACCAATGTCGTCATCGGAACTTTAGAAACTGATGGTCAAGGTACAACGATGTTATTAAATTTCGAAGTTTTGGAAAAGGCAAATTATTTCACTATTTCAAAACTATTTGATAAATCTTTAAATTTACAATGGMCTGAAAGTATACAACATGACTAGGTTCTTTTATTTTTAAGTGATGCAGTACATGGTAAAAGCAGCAGGTGCAARTAAGGCATTTTACTCTAAAACACTCCACGTTACTTGCTTAACTCATAGTTTACATCTTACGGCTGAAGAAGTGAGAAAATATTTTCCAAATGTGGTGAAAGTAAATCAATTCAAACCAATGAAGATTTATATCCAAATGATGTGGTATTTTTTAAATACACGCCTATTACTTCTGTAGACGTGGGACGTTAATTTTCAAGATATAAAAAATTGTTGACTGACAAACGCCGATCGATGGGTTTTGAAAATATTGCTAAAATGATTGTCATACAATGCAATTCACATTTAGGTAAGTACATTTATTTTAGGAGACATTTTTGATATAAATTGATTCCTTTTTTTATATATATATTAAAGCTACCTGAAAATAGTRAAAGTGGAAAAAATTAAGAAAAGTGTTTTTAGTATTGTTCCATAATTTTTTTTATAATATATTGTATCAATTAAATGTTCGGAAAATAAATTTTTTTATGCATATTTTTTTATTTTCTATGCATATTTTAACATTTTAGTGCATATATTTATGCATATTTAAGACTTTTTAGCGCATATTTGATTGATTTTTGATGCATATCAAAATCCGCGCTCTAGACTAATTAACTTCATACCTATATGACGATGGCCGTATATCATTTGCGCATCGTCTGCTTAAACCTGTCCCAAAATATCGAACATCGTTTGCGCATTCTCTGTTTACCTGCACTAAATTATCATACATTAAATGCGCATCAATATTCTAAAATAAGGGTATAAAAAAATACATGATATATAGTATTATAAATAGATAATACTATCTATAGATAACAAATAATTTTTAATTTTTAAACATAATAATAGTTGATAAACATAAACATTTAAATTCCAAAATTTGAAAAAATTTGAAAAAACCTGAAAATTTAATTTACAAAATTACATTTTTACTTGGTATATTGTATATCACATTTTACTTTTTGCAATATTTGAAAATGTAATATTACGTGAGTAAATTTAGAGATAAGTAAATTTTAAAACCGAAGTTAAAAAACTCTTGCACTTGGTGTGTACCTACACATTTTTTTTTWAATTTCTATTGTTGAACAATGTTGAATGTGCAAATGATGTAGGACCTTTTAAACGGTTAATGCACAAACGAAGTATAACTCAAAAGTCGAACGATACGCAATTGTCTTACAAAAAAAGTTAAAATTAACAATAGTGATGCGCAAACGACAACCGCAGAGACCTATTTTACTATTTTAATTACTGCAACATAATCAAATATTTACAAACATAATATGTCATGTACCTTACTATAGGATAAGAGATATAATAAAATAAAATATTTACCATATAATGTATTCTTATGGCTGTAAGATACTTTGATATTTTATCAAAAAATTAACATAATATATATTATTTTATTGCGGACAGTTGAAATATCTTTTGGGTTTGTATTCAAATACCTATTTTATTACTTTATTACCTACTTTAAATTCCTCGTAGTAAAAGGTTAGATATAAAACATACACACATTTATTATTTAACTTGTAATCTCATACATTGAAGCAGTTTAAAAATTAAATAAAAAATWATTTAATTATTTTATAAGTCACAGGAATATAATATGTCACTCGTATAGGTATCTACAATGTTATTTTTTAACATAAGAAACCAAATGTACGCAATAATAATACATGTTAAAAAGAACAAGGAGAGCTAAGTTTAATAGAATTATTGCAAAAAGGGGGCTGCAGTCGATGGAAAAAATGGCTTTTAGACCAAAAGCCAGACAAAAATGAAAGAATTTGTTTTGACGGATTTTAATTTTTTTTAACTGATTTATATTGATGAAGTTACTTATATTGAAGCGATTTTCAATATTCCGAATATTGAAT